GGCAGATATATCTGAAAGTATAGCCCTAGATATAGATATATTTGCTATGGAATGGGTTGAACCAGAATTTCTGCTTTGTTCAGTGGTTCATAAAATGTATATATTCCGCTGATTAAACAAAAGTGCAGCATCAACACTATAAAATAATTCTTTAGCAAGCTACATACAGAAATGTTTGATTCAGAGTTTTGGGGAAATGATAGTGACTTTACAAAAGCTATCATTTGTTTTACTTCTGTTCTCAGTGACAATAAAGAGGAGACAGCACAAGATGGTTGTATATGCATTGGCATAACTAGTGCATTGCAGTTTTATGCTCCAGAAACTACTGTGAAGGCAAGATGTAAAGATGAATGGAAGAGGATAATGATGCTAATAAGGCTCCTTGAAGATTATCATAACTAGAAATACATCCAGAAATACTTTCTAATTAAACAGTTGTTATAGGGATCTCAGTCAGCAAGCAACTCTATGTTTGACTGTTCAACAATCACAAGAAAAGTCCTAGAAGTACTTGATCAGCAATTCCCACGCTGTGGTAAATGTAGTCTGCAGAGCACTTGCTGCTGTCTTAGACAGCTGTTTCATCACATGGCACTAGCCCTCCTGTGTTTCCAACAGCTATATTGAACTAGGAGAAGCTATGAATACCTAAATGTTTCCTAATGTTATGTCCCCAATGTGAAGAAGGGCTACAAAATCAGGATCTATGGCATCAAGAGCTATGGACTTTAATTGAGCAAAATTCCCATTAATGTGGGAGCTTGGATTTCTATGGGAGTTTTGCTTAATTAGGGACCCCAAAATCCAGCCCATAATATTTAAAACAAAAACAAAAAAGAAAAGCAAACATACTCCACTACATCAAGTTTGGGACTTTAGTGTGTCCCTTTGTTTGTTCTACATAGGTTTAATTTAGACCCTGATCCAGCAGCTGCTTCCATGCAAGCAGACCCTGTGCTCCACTGAAGTCAACTTCACTAACTTCAGCTTCAAAATCAGTTTCCAGATATAGTCCTATGTAGTAATTGAATACGAAAATGTCAAAGACATTGGGTGCTGTATCTGCAATGTTACTTTTCCAGTCCAGATACTCTTTCTTAGAACTTGTGAAGGCCACCTCACTTGTGCATGTTCCAATACTTGCTGATAATCTGACTTGAACTTCAAGGCTGCAAGACCTTGCATCAATGACTTGCAATTCAAGAGACTCGGGGGGGGGGGGACGGGACACACCACCAACTTAATATTTCTAACTGATTTTGCAGAGATATTTCAGTCAACTTTTGCAACCAGCCTCTGAAATTGTGCACAGAGATTTTGAATACACAATCATATATACCTGAGGCCACTCACTATGATAAATTCCAGAGGGTGTTCCCTTCCCTCCTTTCCTCTCCCAAGTGAGCCACTCAGAATAAAACACGGACAGGTCACATTAAATGGCAAAACAGCAAAATTTACCGCTCTGTGACTCTCTTGTTGTGTCCTCCCAAATTCTACCCCTTTATTGCTATTTTTGATTTGTATATGATAGCACCCAGGAGTCCCAATCAAGGAACCTCAATATATTTTGTACTATACAGACCAGTAATAGAGAAGGCAGTTCCCAGACAGCTTAGAATCTGAAGGTGAGATTCTCAGCCCTACTCCAGCCACTTTATTCTGGATAAAAGGGACAAACCAAAGGAGTCCTAAAAGCCCTGGATTCAACCATAGAAATTCCTCTGGTGCAGAAACAGAGGCAAACAAAGAATGAGGGTCACAAATCTGACATCGGGAGCCTGCTAGGGGAGGGGCTGAGGCAGCAGCACTTGATGCTGTGAAGATCTGGGTAGTGCTGCTGCCCATTGACTATAGTAACGTGGTCCCTCAATGCTATCTAAGTTATTACGAGGGCTACTATAGCCCCTACCCTGCCATTTCTTGCTTTCTTGTCTGCTAGATGGTGCCCTTCTCGTTTTTGGCCTTCCACAGTTTTTCTGCTATTACCTCCTCTCATTTTATGAATGTAAAATAGGGCACCTGATGAAATGAACAGCCTCAGTTGGACAGTTTGGATGTGATCACTCACTGTTATTTCTTCATTCTTTTTACTCTGTCTTAAAATAATGAGTTTGCTGTAAAAAGTGTTAGTGCAACCATCACAGATGAGAACTTAAATGCGCCAACTTCAGGCAATTCGGAATCCTGCTTCCCAGAACAACAATAACTTGGCTACATTACACATATATATTACGGGATCATAGTTGAAGGCAAATACTGCAATAAAAAACTGTACTGCATAGGGAAATGATGAGTTATGGTTCTTCTGGGATCTATAACTTTCAATGTCCTTATTTTCATGTGCTCCCCATAACATTGCACTCAGTATAAGTAACATTTTCAGAAGGAAATTGTTAAGCAAACCAAAAGGGTTTCATTAGTCTTTGCGGTGAACAATCTAGAAAAGGAGCAAAATACACCTTGGGGATCCTGTGTAACAAAAGGTCATTAACAATTTAAGACACTTCTGAGACATCAAATGGTGGAGTGCTGTTACAGCTTTCAATGTTGGTCTGACTGGGGAAATTAATGCTAGGTCTGGAAGATATACAAAAGCAAATTTAATAACTAAATCCTTCCTGGGTTTCAATAACAGAAAATGCATTGGAAATGAAAGTCTTACAAATAGCAGGATGTAATGAAGACGGACACAATGAACTATGATAAAAGTAGGCTTTTGACCTTAAATCTGATTATAATGGGACTTTACGGTAAGGGATGATTATGTTGCTTCCTATTAGACACAGCCAATCAATAAGCAAGCTGCTTTCGATTCTAAAGTACAAGTCACACATCTCTATCATGTTTCCTTAGATGGCCATGTGAAGAGCTAAAGTTGGTAGCAATTTATTCTTCTTACTGGGAGAAAGAAATAGTTTAATAAATGGCACATATTAGTTCAAGCCAGAGCACTTTGCAAAATCAGGCCTGTAATCTTTCCAAAGGGCTGATGAGCTCTTCTGAGATGCTAAGTGCTCCCATCTTCTAATGGGGAATGGGCACACTGTGACACAGGGCCCAACATGGCTCATCCCCTGAGACACTGCTTCCCCTCCAACCCCCCCACCATTAAGAGCTAAATTAATTAAATTAATTCTGGCATCTGCTCAAGATGCCAGAATTTAGCATGTAAGGAAAGAAAGACACTTGCAAATAAACGAGTGAAATGACAAATGGATCAAATTGCTTATTTAGTCAGCAAAAACACAATATAATCTGATTCACATATAATAAATTTCTTCATTAGATTTGCTCCCTTCTTTCTCCATTAAGTGTTAGTTATTCTGCAATGCAACATCAGCATTACGAAGTTTAATTTACTATAACACTACCCAATTGTGCAGGAACTATGAGAAACTCTCAGGGCCTTTTTACACCATTGCAGGTCAAACCATATAATAAGTAAGACAAAGGAAAAGATTTATAAGACATGACAGGACACATACTATCAGGGGAGAAATCAAACTTAAGTGTATAAGATAGGCACAAATCTGAAGGCACTAGGCAATAAATGCACCTAAAAATGTGCCTGTAGCAGATGCAAATGCTTGTTTTATTAGACATTTTACAGGGTGTTTTTTAAAAAAATGCTACTTACTAGATGTTAAAAATATGTATCATCTGTATTTAAACAAATACTGTTCTTTTGGAAGGAGTGTGTCTGTCTATCTTAGGTGCATAGCCCCCATTAGTGTAGTTCCGAAAACATCACAATCTTTAAAATATTTATTTCTCTACCTCTCAGGGATGGTGTGAACCTCTTATAATCTCTTCTTATAAGAAGGGGAACTGAAGCATAGAGGGACTAAGTGACTTGCCCAAGGTCACACAGGAAGTCTCTGGCACAACAGAGAACTGAGCCATCTCCCAAGTGCCAGTCAAGTGTTCTAATCACTGGGAATTTTTTTTTATTTCTAAAATTTAATGAGGATTAAGAGTCGGGAGCCTGACACCACTTCCTGTGTGACTTGAGCAAATCACTTAATTCTGTGCCACAGCTCATTCACCTGTAAAATGGATACATCCGTTACCTGCTACACAAAGAAGTTGAGGATTAATTAATGTTTGTAATTAAGTTGTAAAACTTCTTGAGAATTTTGGATTAAATGTTTCTAAGAGCTAAATTGTGTTGCTGAATGTTAATCAACAGCTTCAAATTACATATGCCTGTGAACAGGGATGGATGTAAACCGCATCAAAATGTACATAGATGTCACAGCACATTTAGAACTCCTGCCAAAATATGCTCTGAATTCAAGTTCTTGGCCAGACTGCCATGTCTTTGTGTCTTAACTCCTCCCCGATCTAATGATACTTTTAGAAGGACATATCAATCCAAATCACCACCTCATCAGCTAGGTAGTGTGTGTCACTCAGACTATGTCCATACTTAAACCACTGCAGCTGTATCACTATAGCACTTCAGTGTAGACACTCACTCCACCAACAGTAGAGGTTCTCCCATCAATGTAGTTAATCCACCGCCCTGAGAGGTGGTACATAGATTATTGATGGAAGAAGTCTTCCATTGACCCAGCGCTGTCTACCCTAGAAGTTAGGTCAGATTAACTATATTTTCCACACCCCTGAATGATGTAGCTGGATCTTTTTAATGTAGACCTGGCCTCAGTCTCTCCTGCCTTCCACTGTATTTGCTAAAATTAGACAAAAGACAACACCTATCTACCCATCTATTCTGTCATATACAGGAAGGCCATTAGAATTCGATGAACTTCCATGAACATAACTGCACAAGTGGCAACTACTAATTGGGCTGTGAGCATGAAATTAGTATTAATAAGATATACAGAGTTGGGATGGAATCTAGTAGGTGATGTGACAGTTTGGGAGTTATACCTGCATTCCCAGTCCAATTTTGTGAAAACCGTGTTGTATTTCATCCTTCATTTTGGGTGCAACCTTGATTATATCCTTCAACATACACTGTAACTGTCATGTTGGATTACATCATCACTTTTCAGTTTCTGAGCCTGGTGCCTAGGCGTCTGACCCTGAATGACAATGACCAAGGGGCCATCAACTTTGAATGGTTTTCCTCTATGAGCACAAATGTTTTACTAAAAAAGCGAGATGAGGCTAAAGGCAGCTGGTTCTCCCAGTTTATCTCCAGGGAAACAAGACTAAGACTATTAAAGCCAGTCAGTGAGTCACCTGACAGAGCGGGAGTGAAACTTTATTTAAGGGCAGAGTCTGCCCTAGAGCCTCTTGCTCTCTCACCAACTAAATATACCAGAAAGCAGGACTGCAAGATGAAGACGGGAGGAGGGGGCCTATTCAACTCATACACAGACTGGGCCTAAGGGCTTATAGAATAGGTGAGTGTAGACCCTGAGAATAACATATAGGTGTTTGTTGTTTTTCCGTAGATCTATATATCTTCTGTACTAAGGGGAAAAGCATGTGAGTGTTTAAGAACCATAAAATATCAGGGTTGGAAGGGACCTCAGGAGATCATCTAGTCCAACCCCCTGCTCAAAGCAGGACCAATCCCCAGACAGATTTTTGCCCTAGATCCCTAAATGGCCCCCTCAAGGATTGAACTCATAACCCTGTGTTTAGCAGGCCAATGCTCAAACCACTGAGCTATAAAAGGGGGGAAGGGATAAAGTTCTTTTATAAAGCCTCTGTGTTCTTTTTTTCTCTGCCATGTGTCCCCCAGAGAAAATTGAATTATACACGTAGTGTCCATGAAGGTGGAGCTCTAGAGAGTGCATGCATAAACTATTGGGGAGACTTGGGAAGTTCAGCACTGATCTTGGGGCAGGGCAGCTGGACAATAGGGTCCTGCAAGAGTACCACCATATGGGGAGTCTACAGCCTGAGAAACTGAATTTGGAGAGAACATCTGGACTCTACTCAGGCCTTGGCTATGGTTGAGAGTTACAGCACAATAAAGCCTCTCACAGTGCTGTAGCTCACTCCCCGTCCACACTGGCAAGGCACGTACAGCGCTGTATCTCCGCGGCTACAGCGCTGCTTGTACTCCACCTCCCCGAGAGGAATAAAGAGTATTGCGCCAGTATGGCCACCCAATGCGCTCTGATTGGCCTCCAGAAGTATTCGGCAGTATCCCACAATGCCTATTCTAGCCACTCTGCTCATCACTCTGCTTATCAGTTCGAACTCTACTGCCCTGGCCTCAGGTGACCAACCGTTAGACCCGCCCTTTATATTCCCCAGGAATTTTAAAAATCCCCTTCCTGTTTGCTCAGCCTGGCATTGAGTGCTATCAGTGAATCTTTCCAGGTGACCATGCCTCCACGCGCCAAACGAGCCCCAGCATGGAGCAATGGCGAGTTGCTGGACCTCATCAGTGTTTGGAGGGAGGAAGCTGTCCAGTCCCAGCTGCGCTCCAGCCGTAGGAATTATGACACCTTCGGGCAGATATCAAGGGCCATGATGGAAAGGGGCCATGACCGGGACGCACTGCAGTGCAGGATTAAAGTGAAGGAGCTGCGGAATGCCTACCACAAAGCCCGCGAGGCAAACCGCCGCTCCGGTGCTGCCCCCACGACCTGCCGTTTCTACAAAGAGCTGGACGCGATACTTGGGGGTGACCCCATCTCCACTCCGAGCACCACCATGTATACTTCAGAGCGGGGGGGAGGAAGAGGAGGAAAGCGGGAGTGAGGGTGCTGGGGTGGGGAGACACACCCTAGAATCCCTGGAGGCATGCAGCCAGGAGCTCTTCTCAAGCCAGGAGGAAGGTAGCCAGTCGCAGCGGCCGGTACTTGGTGGAGGACAAACAGAAGAGCACGTTCCTGATAAGCGGCTTTTTTTTTTCCTGGAAGTTTTCTTTTTCTGGAAGGAATTTTTTCGGTGCTGGCTCTTTGGGAGAGGAGGGTTAGGGCTGCATGCATGCCTAGATGCGGAATAGCACATTGATGTGGTCTATCACATCGCGGTAATCGGCCTTGGTAATCTCTTCGAAAGTCTCATCCAGAACGTGGGCAATGCACTTGCGCAGGTTTATTGGGAGAGCCACTGGGTCCTGGTCCCAGTCAGGCTAACATGTCCACGCCACTGTGCTGCGAAGGGCGGGGGGACCATTGCCGCACACAGGCAAGCGGAAGGGCGGAAGCTGGATTGCAGTAGAAGACCCTCCCTTACTTCCCAGGTCACCCTCAGCAGCAAGATATCTTCCAGGATAAACTCCTGTGGAAAATGTTGGGACAGTATTCAGTGTATGTGCCCCCTGCAGCTGTTGGCTCTCCCCAAAGCACAGAAACCCAGGCGACAGTACAGCCCTGAAACAATCAGTCCCCCTTACTCACCATTTTGGGGCTCCCGTGGGTTATGTGCGCTCTCTTTGGGACGGAAAAATTATGCTATAGTGTAGACTGTGTGTGCCCTCCTTAAGTGTGGGGGAATCATTACTCTGTCTGGTATAAACAATGCTGCCTCTGTTAAGTGTTGCATTTTGCCTTTACAGACGCAACCTTGAGATCTCAGCCATCCATGTTATCACCGGCTGAGAGACTGCAAAAACTCTGGAAGAGACCGCGAAAAAGCAAAGACGACATGCTGCATGAAGTGATGCATCAATCTCTTACAGAGAATCAAAAAGCACAGGAGTGGAGGGAGAGCGAAAGCAGGATCCGCAAGGAAAACGCAGCGCACCGGAAGCAAAGCACAGATCAGTTGATAAGCATCATGGAGCACCAAGCAGACTCTATCCAGGCGCTCGTAGCCATGCAGGCGGAGCACTACCGCGCATACTCCTCAGCAGTTCGGGCTCCATTTCCCGCAGACTGAAACAGAACACAGATAGCGCTGCACAGAAACCGTTGAAAGATCGCGCCAAATGTGGATGGAAACACAAGGATTGCTGGGATGCGAAGCGATGCATCGCGGGGCATTGGGACAGGACCCAGAATTCCCCGCACCCCCCGCACCTTTCCCACAACCCATGGCGCCAGAATGGGAAGAGGTGCTCTGTGGGATAGCTGTGGGACAGCTGCCCATAATGCACCGCTCCCAATGCCGCTGCAAGTGCCACAAATGTGGCCATGCCAGTGCGCTGTCAGCTGTCAGTGTGGACAGACTGCAGCGCTTTCCCTACTCAGCTGTACGAAGACAGGTTTAACTCACAGCACTGTATAGCTCCAAGTGTAGCCATACCCCTAGTGGGTTTGGAAGCACAGGGGACCCAAAGATTGGGTCCAATACAGCAGTCTGATGACTCTCTACGGGGATAGGGGGAAGAATGGAGGGGAGATTCGTCAGGCTATAATAGTTGTCACTTATATTTCACATTTAAATAATTTTAAGTAATCAGATGGTAATCCTTCACTGACCTATGTACATCTGCAGCAGCTATTAATCCCTTCTGCAGATTCCCATTTCATATGTCCCAACCCAGCTATGAATATTTCAGTAACATATAATTGCTACAGCATTGCTAAAATTGGTATCAGAGGCTGGACTTTTGGAAGTACTCAGAGAGTCAGGTAACAATTGTTTCACATAAATTATATACTGATTTATGCACAGCAAACAGTAAGTGAGGGCTTAGTCTGCAAAGTAAGCTTTTATTGTTGTGCCTGACCCTGCAGTCATTGTGGGTGCAAATCTCCCATGAGATTTCACTGAAACAGACAAGTGTGCGAGGACTGCAGAATTCAGTTTGAGACTGCAGATTCAATTATTCCCCCATCTAAAATGATTGTACCACTAACGGGTTCAGCTTATCAGCCTGTGCTTTTTTTTTTTTTTACAATCTGATTACATACTGTAAAAGTGCTAGAGTTGTGCCTCTGTATTGTGAAACTGTATCTGAGAACCTCTAATGAAAAGTAACTTCTTGGCCTTCTGAAGATAACTGTCATTGCTGAAATATTTATCAGATCTAAAAGCTGGCCAGCACACATACACACCCAGAGATAACTACAATGAATTGGTTTTGGCACTCTGAGTGGTGTATGGCCATAAATGAATATAAATTTGAATGTAGTGGCAGTGATTTATGTTTTCCTACCAAGAATCTTCTTATTTATTTAATATATCTTGGAATCCAGAGACAACTGTTGTTTCAGCCATATTGATTGCCCTTACAGCACTGAGTACTTCTTATCTATCCACCTCAGTTGTTCCATAATTAGCCACTCATCATGAGAAATAGAAGTGTGTCATTTAATTAGCTTTTTAAAACATCCATATTAATCTGTTGATGTTTTTCCCTGCAGAATGCCCGCACAGATTTACAGAGATATGTTTTTGAATTATTTGTTTGTTTGTTTTCTGCATCACTGGCCTGGAGAAGAATCACAGCTGCTCACAAGTATTATTCGCGGAAAGATTTTGCTTAAATTATTTAATGTCTTCCAGTTTGAAGGAACCCAGATTAATTATTTAATTAGCATTTTGCTATGATTAATTGAATGTTCACAAATTAATTAAAAGCTGCTTACCTTTTGTCAGTTCAGTAGCTTAAATGGAATCTCCTGAGAAATGGCAAAATACACATAGTTCAAAAAAAAAATCTCATCTTCACTTAAAAAGTCATGTGTAGGAGAGAGGTTTCCAATATTACACTGTAGTTCAGGTTAACATGGCAGATAGCTTTCCAGCATTCTGAATTCACGGGCTGTGCTTTGTAAAGCCAGTAATCACAGCAAATTCATTTGGCATTCAGGCAGCTGTTGTCTGTTCTTCCATGTTTATGCCATGGTTATTACTCCCATTGAAGGAATATGTGGGAATCCAGTTACTGTTTACATATGACAGTTCTGGTACCCTATGTTAATATTTTAAACTGTGTGTGTGTGTGTGTATAGATAGATAGATTTGGACTGGCATTTTCAAAAAAGCCTAAATGAGTTAGGCACACAAATCCCATTGAAATTCAGCAATGAGTAGGGAGCAGCATGGAATGACATTCTGCCAGAAAGGCACAGCCAGCCCCAAATTCCCCAGTACAGATGGGATAGGCAGGATTCACTGGCATATTATCTGGGCTGGGGTCATGAGATCTTTAGCTGTCATGGCAACTGGGGAAAGCACTACAGTTACAATTTTATATATTATATATAAGAATTTAAAATCTCTCTAAACTATTTAGACTTTTCATTGGCTGGCTTGGTAGAGAAGGGAGTTTGTATACATTTCCCAAACTTCTTGCTATTATATATTGTTCTCCTGGGCAACCTGGAAAAGCGTGTATAGACTTTCCAAGCCTGCTAAGATTTTTGAAGTTTTAGCCCTGAAACAAGTAGAGATGCCCTGGGATCCATTAGCCAAGAAACCTTTCTTTTGATGCTAATGGGACTGACTCTTGTAAAAGCCTTGGTCAGTGATTTTTAGACTTTGTTTGAAGGAAGAAATACACTAAAAATTTGAAATGGTAAAAGCAACCTCTTTCATAAATGTTGATTAATTAGCAGTGTTGAGAGTGGTATGGTACGAGGGGCAGAAATCAGCAATGCTTTCAATAAAAGCAATTGGCTAGATTCTCTGATTTGCTGTCCTCCGCTCCTATTGAAATCAATGGGAGCTGAGGCCATTCAACACTTCACAAGAGCTGCTAAGTGCTACAGATCAAGCCCCATAAAATAAACTGTGTATCAATATTATAGTGTACTTGTTGGCATGGATCAGAGGGGTAGCCGTGTTAGTCTGAATCTGTAAAAAGCAACAGAGGGTCCTGTGGCACCTTTAAGACTAACAGAAGTACTGGGAGCATAAGCTTTCGTGGGTAAGAACCTCACTTCTTCAGATGCTCCTGTGGAAGCAGAGTAAGAACTGACAGGAAGGAACTGCAATGCATGACAGTTCGTTAGCAAGAATCAGGCTAACTGTAACCCTAATAACGCGAGATTTGCAGAAGCGAGGATTGTGTGAGGCGAGTGGGAAAGAACTGTGTGAGAAGTTGTTGTGACCTTGTGTAGATAATGTGTAGAAAATATTGTATGTAGGCTAGAGTCAAAACAAGTGAAAAAAATAAGATATCAAGATGGCCTATGTATAAACAAAATGCAGCTCTTGCTTGTTATTGTCTGTAATGAAAGGTATAAATGCTTGCTGTAATTGTTTACCTGTAGAGAGACCTGCTTAGCTCTCTCCCTCTGAGCAATTGTGAGAGAAATAAAGCATCTGACTTGCTGTACCCAAACAAAAAGTGAGAACTGTGTTTTTCTCCGACAATTTGGGGGCTCGTCTGGGATGGCAATGCCCACAGAAGCACCGGCAGCTGCTACGGATCGTTCCCCTTCGAACCCCATGGCGCCACAATAGAGGTAAGAGACCTTTTGAAATCTCTATTGGGGTGTCGGAGGAGGACTGTCCGTGGGGCCATCTGTCCCTGTTGGGCTCACGCCATCCGAATTTATTGACTGTGCAGCAAGGTCAGATGCTGAGCGGCGTAGGGGAATTGTTTGCCGCCCCCTGTATGCATATGCGAGGTGCATAGGTATGCACCGGTGTTGAGGGGTTGTTACCGCCTCAGGAGGGATTGTTATCACCTCGAGTGATGCATCGAGGTACTTGGGAATAGTACCTGGAATAAGGCCTTGGTGTGTGTGTACACCAGTGTGAATTGAGTGTTACCGGAAGACGCCCAGAGTACTCTGCGAAGTCTTTTGGCTCGTGACCAGAACTACTCTAACGCAAGCCCGGTAACTAGAGGATCTTTTAGGAGATCCGACCCATGGTGGGCTGACTCGGCCTGGCATCGTCCGGCGAGGAGGCTACCTGGGTCTAGGAGTGTGTGAACCCATCTTCCCTCCCCTTTTCCTCTCCGTGTGAGCCACTGACAGTCTGATCATCTCACTAGATGCAACAGAGTAAGCGGCGCCGTCTCTCTGAGACTAGCCGACGCTCTTTGCTGAAGGGAGGTGTAGGAGGGTCGTGGCTATCCTCGTTAGTCTGTCCTGTGTGAATACCCTGTAGGGAGAGATCCTTAGTTTATGTGCCGCTAGCGCGGACAGGGCATCCTCCCCCCTGTGTGTGTGATTGGAAAATGGGTGGGGGACAGTCTAAGCATTCCCTCTCACCCCCTAAGGGTACCCCAGCTTATTTCATGTACGTACATTATGGTCCGACAACCTGCAGGTATTTAGATAATTGGAATCTTCACACGCGTGCAAATCCATCTAAACAATGCCCACTAGAAGGTACCTTCGATTTAGATAAACTTACATATCTCAGAGAAACCCTGGCTTCACCAAAAGCCTCTGATACGCAGTGGGAGCAATTTGTCTGTTGGTGGGAGGAAGCAACAAAGAGACTCCACGAGTCTCGGGTGCGGAGTCTAAAGGACTCCCAGAAAAAATTAAAAGCCCAAGTACACAATTTACAACTTAAATGTAAGGCATCCGGCTGTCTTCCTGCTCGAGCAATTCCTTCTGCTCCTCTTTATCCCCAATTAGTTAGGGCTGAGAGTAAAAAGGAAACTGCTAAGGACATTGTAGATTTTTTCAGTAACATTCAGAAGCAGCAGCCCGTGCCGCCTCCTCCCCCTCCGCTGTCTGGGTCTGCTAACGAACCTCACCAGGCAGTGCCAGCTTCACCACCGCATGTATCAACTACACAAATTGTTCTTTCTTCTCCTATGAGAGAATCTTCCTCTTCACCACAAAGGGGTGATTCTGATCTTCCCAGTAGCTCTCCCGACTCTGGTCCTTCTGAGGAGGGTACCTGTTACTTTACTAGAAGCCTAGCCCAGACGCTCCAGGCTCCCTTAAAAGAACTGCCCGGGACTGCAGGACAGTTGGTTACAGTGCATGCCCCATGGTCACCAGGAGATCTGAGAAACTTGGTAAAGGAATTTCCTAATGTTAGGGAGGAGCCAGAAAAATTTAGAGATGAACTCCGGACAGTGGTTCAGTGTTATAATCCATCTTGGGCAGACATTAATCAACTCTTGCAGATGGTTATGCCAGCCGAAGTTCGACAACAGCTTACCAGTCAGGCAGCTTGGCCAGATGCCGACCCTGGAATTGACCGTGATTTAAGAGAGGCTAGGGACCGTCTCTTAAATTCTATAACGGAAGTCTGCCCTAAGAAGACAGATTGGACAAAGATTACCTACTGTAAACAGAATAAAGGAGAGTCCCCTGCTGATTATCTAGATAGACTGACTAAGGTTTTTGAACAACATTCGGGAATTGCTCAGCCAGCTGAAAATGCCAGAGAGGCAGTAGGGGCTGCTTTTGTTCAGGGACTCTTACCAAAGATTCAGCAGCAGTTAAGAACTATCTGTATTGGCTGGCAAACTAAACCCCTTTCTGAATTGGTGACAGTCGCCAATCATTGTACAGCTTGCATAGAGCAGAAGAAAGAGAATACTGAAACAAAACTTTTGGCCTTGCAGTTAGAAACTTATCAAAACCAGGGCCGTGGGGGAATGAAAGGAGGACGAGAACAAGGTCGTGGGCGAGGAAGAGGGAAAGGTCCCTCGTATCCTGCCCAGTCCAGGTACACTGCATGCTACATTTGTGGCCAAGAGGGACACTGGAGAAATGCGTGCTCAACCCGCTTATCTCAGAACCCTCCACCTCCTTTCCCAAATCCTGAAGCGTCTACTTTTACCCCACAAACTCTTACTAGGACAGCCTGAGGGAACGTAACTGCATCATGAACCCTTTAATTCCCATTAATCAAGAAGGTCCCTATGTAAATTGTGAAATTGCAGGACAATCTGTTACTTGTCTTGTGGATACTGGAGCTAGTAGATCTGCTCTAAGATCCTCGGAGTTTCCCTCTGTTCCTTTGTCAACTTTGTCTGTAAATGCCGTTGGCATTTCAAATCAACCTGTTTCGCATTCTGTCACAAAACCCCTTGCGGTTTCACTAGGGCCCCTTGCTAACAAGCATGCATTTTTGCTCAGCCCCTCCTCTCCTGTGAATTTGCTGGGAAGGGATCTTTTGTGTAAATTAGGCTGTACTATCTATTGCACACCAGATGGCGTATTCTTACAGGTTCCTGATGAGAATACTAATCTAGTGTTGGCTACACTCCGCATAGAGGAGCCAGCTAAATTACCAACAACTCTTAGCCCTGACCTTGTGCATTTGTTGTCACAAGTTCCCCCCCCATCTCTGGTCTCAGCATGCCAATGAAGTGGGACAGATTCGGACAGCTGAACCGGTTAAGATTTTTGTTGATCCTTCTAAAGCTTTGCCAAGGGTTCCACAATACCCTCTGCGTCCTGAGGCAGAGGAAGGTATAGCCCCAGTAATGGAGTCTTTATTACAGCAGGGTATTATTGTTGCCACCACCAGTTCTTGTAATACTCCTATCTTTCCTGTAAAGAAGCCAGGAAAGAACACCTATCGGTTTGTTCAAGATCTCCGCGCGATTATGCTGTTGTTTTGCCTTCTTTTCCTGTGGTTCCAAATCCAGCTACAATTCTTTCTTGTATTCCCCCTTCAGCCACCCACTTTACTGTTGTGGACCTTTGTTCAGCTTTCTTTTCTATCCCCATTCACCCTGATAGTCAGTATCTGTTTGCCTTTACCTATAAAGGACGCCAGTACACCTGGACCCGGTTACCCCAAGGGTATACTGAGTCCCCATCGTTGTTTTCCCAGATCTTGAAAAAGGATCTGGATGATGTGTTTTTTCCAAGTAAATCAGTGCTTATACAGTATGTGGATGATCTTTTGCTGGCATCCCTTTCTTTTGAATCTTGTAAAGCTGATACTTTGATTCTTTTGACTGCTTTAGCTGCTAAGGGTCATAAGGCATCCCAGGAAAAACTACAGCTGTGTCAGCCCAGGGTTCATTACCTTGGTCATGATATTTCATTTATCAGATTCTCGTATTTCTGCTGTTTTAAATATGCCTAGGCCTGGTACTATTTCTCAAATGCGTACTTTTCTTGGCATGACTGGGTAGTGTAGACAGTGGATTTTAGCCTATGCAACAATGATTAAACCTTTACAGGATCTGACTAAGTCAGATACTCCTGAGCCTCTTCCTTGGTCTCCAGAGGCTGAACGAGCTTTTGTTGCTATCAAGCAAAGCCTGTCCAGTGCACCGGCCCTGGGACTTCCTGATTATGCTAAACCATTTACTCTTTTCTGTCATCAGCGTAATGGGTATGCTTTGGCAGTATTAACGCAAAAGCACGGAGATAAACACCATCCCATTGCTTATTACAGTACGGCCCTAGACGCTGTGGCAGCTGGATTTCCCCCTTGCCTGCGTGCTGTGGCTGCAGCGGCCCTTGCTGTTCAAGTATCCGAATCCATTATCTTAGGATCTCCTTTGATTGTTGCTGTCCCTCATGCTGTGGCTGCACTCTTGTTAAAATCTAAGACACAGCATCTATCCACTTCTCGTCTTACAAAATATGAGCTTGTCTTCTTGTCTTCGTCTCATATTACTTTGGCTCGTTGCCCCGTTCTAAATCCTGCCTCCTTGTTGCCTGGGCCAGAGGATGGAGAATCACATGACTGTGTGTCTGTGACGTCGGTCCTCTCCCGTCCAAGAGATGATTTGCTAGATGTGCCTTTGCAAAATCCTGATCTTATTTACTTTGTGGATGGTTCGTGCTTGCGAGATTCTAAGGGTAAATTGGCTGCTGGTTATGCTGTGTGCTCTGCCTATGCTGTTATTGAAAGTGCTTTTCTTCCTTCCGTGTTTTCTTCTCAAGTGGCCGAACTTGTGGCTTTAACTCGAGCCTGCATTCTAGCTCAGGATCAAGCAGTTACAATTTATACAGACTCTCGTTATGCTTTTGGAGTGGTACATGATTATGGTTTGCTCTGGAAGTATAGAGGTTTCCTTACATCCACTGGTTCTCCTATTAAGAATAGTCTGTATGTATCTGCTCTTCTGGATGCCCTTGTATTGCCCAAAGCTATAGCTGTTGTTAAATGCACAGCTCACCAGACCCCTCATGATGAAGTTACCCGTGGAAATGCTTTGGCAGACTCTGCAGCCAAAGCAGCAGCCCTTTCTGCCCCTCAGGCTGAATATACTTGTGCTTTGATTGAGCAGCCTCCACTAGCCTCCCTTGAGGATCTGGCCAAGATCCAAGAAGCAGCACCAGCAGCTGAGAAACGTTTTTGGAGTGCTAAGGGCTGTATGCTACACCCTGACCATCTTTGGCGTGCCCCAGCTGGTCGCCTGGTTGCACCAAAGATGCTAATGCCTTATCTTGCTCGTGTATACCACGGAATGGCACACGTACGCAAAGGGGGGATGGTTGCTGCAGTTAACCGAGATTGGTGTGCGTTCGGTTTCCCAGTCATTGCACATCACTACTGTCAACAATGTGTGATTTGTCAACAGCATAACATTGGTAAAGCTGTTAAAGTTAGGCAGGCAGCTCCCCCTCCCCCTTGGGGACCTTTTGTAAATATTCAGATTGATTTTATTCAACTGTCTAAATGTTGTGGTTATGAATATGTATTGGTTTTAGTGGATGTATTTTCAAATTGGGTTGAAGGTTTTCCCTGCAGGAAAGCAGATGCCAGGACTGTTGTGAAACTTCTGCTTAAAGATTTTGTACCACGATTTGGCATCCCTGTGAGTATCAACAGTGACCGTGGAACTCATTTTACTGGACAGATTGTAAAAGAGTTATGTGCAGCTTTGCAGACTCAACACAACCTTCACTGTCCCCACCATCCGCAGTCTGCTGGGACAGTGGAATGCCAGAATGGAATTCTGAAAAATAAACTGGCCAAGATTTGTGCTGAAACAAGCTTGAAGTGGCCAGATGCCCTTCCTCTGGCACTAATGAGTATGAGGGCCACTCCCAATCGAAAGACTGGACTCAGCCCTCATGAGATTCTGACAGGGCGCCCGATGAGACTACCAACTGCGCCCCCACTGACCCTAGCTCAGATGGACATTCATTTAATGGATGACGCACTGCTTAAGTATTGTTAGACACTAATGAAATGTGTGAGGTCTTTCTTTACACAGGTGAAAGAAGCACTCCCCAAGGATCCTGTGCAGCCCTGCCACTCGCTGGAACCAGGAGACTGGGTCTACATAAAGGTCCATCAGCGAAAGACTGCCCTGGCTCCACGCTGGAAAGGTCCTTTCCAAGTCCTGCTAACTACCAACACTGCTGTGAAGTGCCAAGGACTGCTCACCTGGACCCATGCTTCACACTGCAAAAAGCCCCCTCCGCCTGGAGAGGATTCTCCAGCAGCTGATCAGCCTGTTTCTCCTGCTAGCTCTGCTGTGCCTCCTGGACAGCAGGGAA